TTCATTAATTTCTCCATGAGTGTTCCTGAAAGCAACCAAATTCCTGACTGTGGCCATGAGAGTTCACAGAACACGACCAGATGAACAGTGTATCTGTTAGTAGTGTATGTGTAATTGTAATAATCCAATGTAAGTATTGGGCACAACTGGACTATTAACACCAGATTGGGCATCACTCAGAATCTAAGCCCAGCCACCCCTAGCTGCTCTAACATCTGAGGATAAGCTGGAATGCAAAGGGGTTTATTTTCTGCCAAATTGCTTTAACCCTTAAGATGACAGAAAAACCTGAGTCACAGACAGGATTGCCATGGATAAACTGCTGCAAAAATATAACTGTGCTCCTTCCGAGGCTGGGAAGGAATGGGCCCAACAATTTTGGAAGGATGAAGAGAAAGTGATAGAGAACATTGAGCAGTGCCAAGCTGCACTAAAGGACAGAGTGAATAAAAGGTATCATCTGTGCAGTCTTGGGAGCTTTTTTGTCTTGTGCTCAACAAGAAGTTAAGGAAGCCCCTGCTCCCACACCAGTTTCTAATGTAGAATATACAGCTTCGAAATCGGAAAATGAAGTGTTGAAACCATAACTGGCTTTTGAAAGGGAGACAGGAGAAAAATTAGGACTCCAAGTTGAAAAACTTCTGAGTGTAAAGGATACACTAGTGAGGTAAAAGAGTAAACTTATCAAGATTTATTTGGTTTTGTAGCAGCAATGAGGTGACTGGAGAGACCTCTGATTCTGACCCTCAGTTGGTCCCCTTACGACCCTTGATTAAAACCGAAACCATTGTTGATGACAATGATGAGGTCTGCACTACTGTGTGTACGGTCCCATGGTCACCAGCAGAGTTGATAAAAATACAGGAAAAGCTCTCAAGGTGACCAGGGGAGTCAAAGATTTAAGTATCTGTGGTGAGTTTCCCTGGAAGGGGGAGTCAGAATTTTGTTGAATGAGGAAGAATCAGGAGGCTTTTGGGGACCACGGGTATTTTTAACCACCACTCCAGGAGATTCATTGACCTCCTGGCTTGCATTTTTGGCAGGTGGCATAGATCCCCAGCTTAAGTGAGAACCAACGGAAATTAAACCACAGTCTATTCTGATCTAGCCGAGGCAGTACAGAAAGCAGCCTGTGTACAAGGTATGTACAACAGGAATGAGTCTTTGAAATCACCAATGCTAGCTTACATTGACCCAGTGTGATTAAGCCTTCTCATTCATGGCCTCCCTGATTATCTCAGGATGTATGTAGCAAACACCCAACACCACATACAAGCTATTATCAATGACACTGATCGAAGGAGCCAGGATCAAAATTACAGAATCACAGAATTCTCCTAGCTGTAAGGGACCTTGAAGATCATAAAGTCCAACCATAACCTAAATCCACCAACCATAACCTAATCTACCCGTTCAGTGCTCAAATCATGTCCCTAAGCACTATATGTATATTTCTTATAAACACTTCCAGGGATGGTGACTCCACCACCTCCCTGGGCAGCCTGTTCCAGTGTCCAACCACTCTTTGGGTAAGTAAATTCTTTCTAATATTCAGTCTAAACCTCCTCTAGCACAACTGTTAATATACCCACCTGGAGTGATTTTGTACAAGACCTAGATAGATATGGACGCCAAATGGGTTGGACCAGATCATCCAGTGGAAAGCCCCCCAGAACATACCCGGTGACTTTGCCAAGTATACACCCCCAAACATAAGTCAGATTGGAAGTTTAAACCTTACAAGTAATGGGGAGAATTGTGGCATAAAGCTCTGGATTTGGGGGTACCCCGATATTTCTTGTGTTGCGTCTCTGCAGAGGATCTTGTACATTAATCCAATCTCTGAGCAAAATGAATTAATTGGCTATGGAAAATCCTACAGCTCAGCCACTCCCTACTCACAAATTAAGTATGTCTTCTGCACCAGAATGTAATCCAATGGATACGGCAGAAGTTGAGCAAAAAATCTGCAGGGAGGGCAGCGAGCCACCCTGCCTGGTGGGTACTAGCAATTCAATGGCTGTTAAAAACTGTGAACCTATTACTGTCATCCCAGTTGGACCCTGAAATGTATTGGTAAATTTTCTCATTGATACTGGGGACTGAATGAATTCCTTGTTTTGCTTTGCTTCTGTGTGCAGCTTTTGCTTTACCTATTAAAATGTCTTTATCTCAACCCACAAGTTTTCTCATTTTTACCCTTCCCATTCTCTCCCCCATCCAGCCAGGGAGTGTGAGTGAGGGGTGTGTGGTGACTGGTTGCCAACCAGAGTTAAACCATTACACATGCACATCTATATAATGTATTAAATAATATATCAATATCTAATAAACACTTCAAATACAGTGTATATATATTTTAATATACACATATATTTGAAATATTTTTCATATTCATGTAACTCCCCAGAACTGAGAGGCAGAGATTTAAGATTCATCACAGAATAAGTATAATTTTCAGCAACTGAAAAAAAAATTAACACAGTTTTACTATTTGCAATGCATCTGTGTACATGTTTGTAAGCAATCTGGGAAAGTGAGTGGTGTCTCTACACCTACATATCACCCAAGCACATGGCCCACAAATGTCAGTTGGGATTGATGAGTATCTCTGTTTGTTTCTGTGGATGTGGGGGCGGGAGGGGTAGAACCAATGCCTGCTCCCTACATGCAGGTCTGGCAGAGGAAGGGTGTGCAGATGTGGCTGGAGACTACATTAGGGAATTTGGAAGGTACATGATACATGCTTGTCTTTGATTCCAGTTTGATTTAAAATTCTTCAAGTTGTGAAAAGGGACATTTGGGTTAGACTGGGAAATCTATAGGAAGGGCAGTAACATGTTTCTAAAATTTCAGAAAATGGTCCCAGTCAAGTCTGTTCACTGGTAATGAGGGGTAGGGGAAGGGACACACCAATCTTAATTTGGAAAACAGCAGTGTCCTACAATTTGTGAAACAACAAGTAACATGCACTGAAGTTCCAGGCCACACAGAACTACCACTGGTTCCAAAACCTAAGAATTAACCCTAGCTGTGTTTGATACAGTGACGTGACTCAGCAGTAGGCACAGAGCTAACCTCAAAGCAGATCACCAGTGCAAAACACCCAGCTCTGCTGGAATGACACCAAAACTGCAAGACCCACCTGGCCAGAGATGCAGCCAGCAAAGCCAAACAATTCAGCTTACCCATACAAACATACAGAGTGTAACACTAACAGTTCCACTCAGATTTAGGCCCCTATGTGTGCAGCCCACATGTGGGCCCGCTCAGAGTCTGAGGGAGTGGTGCAGCTTCTTCTGGTGTTACAGGTTAGTGGAGGAGTATCAAGGGATTTTGGAAGGAATGTGTCTGCTCTTTTAAAGATATCTGGTCAAAGGAGACATAAAGAGTGCACAGAGATAAACCTGACACATGATAAGGGAGGCTGTGATGAGAACAACCCTGATCAGTCACTCTATTTGGTAAGGATGTGAGGATCAAGATTGAGAATATTTATTTTTACATTTGAGAAGCTCAGGAAAGGGAGGAACACAAACACGAGAGTCATAAAGCCTCACCAATTAGCATTAACAAAGACAATAACTGGAAACAAACATCACACTAATTGATGAACTAAGGGTGCAAACCTGAGTGTCCAGAATGTTGGATGGAGTTAGATGCCAGATGTCGAGGCAACGTGGAGGGGATGGGGCAGCTGGGAGCCACAAAGAGACAGGTAGACGTAAGAGGGGTACAAAAGAGGCTGGTCTGGTGTAAACCTGGGCCAGTCAGTGGTGATCTTGTTGAGGTCTGTACTTAAACACCACAGTTTGTCCTATCTTCTTAAATCTTTTTGTAATTCCCTCTTCCAAATCTCGCCCTATCCTGTGTGTGCTGCAGGGACCAAGTGCCAGCTACTGGGGGGGCCTGCATGAGTGGATTTGATACCAGCTACTGACATAAGGAGCAGGTATCCCTGGCCTGGAGCCAGTGGAGCCTCACCCTACAGCCACCTTCATGTCTACAAATCCAGCTATGGAAGGGACCAGCACGAGTGAGCGCGTCTGCACCAGCAGCCGGAGCATGGCAGCAGCTCACAGATTGTCGATACATTTCCTTACAGTATGACGTAATTGAATTTGCAATACTCTCCACAAGAGAAGAAGTACTGCTTCCCAAGGCAGCCTGGAGCTTCCCCATTGCTCAAACAGTGGGAACTCCCACCCACACCAACAGCTGAAATGCTTCCCCACACAAACTCAGATGTAGTTAACACTCACCCAAGGCCTCAAGAGCAGCTCAAGGGGCAAGAGTCCCACTGCCACTCTTGTCCCTACGGGGTGGTAAAGGAGTGTTCTCCTTCATCTCCATCACAGCATCAGAGTTATGCAACCCTGGAGGGATGCAACTCTCGGCCCTAGACTCAGCTGAAGGTTCTGACACATGAACTTAGTACCAGCACAGAGCCACTACATAAAAGGCAAAGTCTCCAAGTCATTGGTATCCATCACCCTTTGCACTCCCTCAGAATGTATCTCCTCCCACAACCACAGGTTCCATTCCCTGCAAGACTGAGAAATGCAAAGCAGAAAAGCCTAAGTGGGTCTCTATGTGACCATGGAGGAAAGACATGGGGAGAAAACAGGAAAAAGGACTTCCAGTAACATGGAGAATTACATCACCTGAACACCTCTTTCCTGCTGCCATCCTTGTCTCTCAGGTGAGAAGACACTGCATCCCCCAGCTGCTCTGCAAGCAGCTCATATGCATGCTGTGGAAAAGGGAAGATGGCAGATTCAGAGGTACTTGTGCCCTTCCTCAAAAGCAGATAGAGAGAGATGACTCCTAAACTGGGGATGCACAAAGGGAGACAAAAGGTGAAAAGGTTGCTCACTCTCTCTGCATGAGGACGGGGAAGTATCAAGAAGGGGTAGGACTACACTCTTTCACCCAGGGGAAGGCATGTGAGCCTGGGAGTTCACAAAAACAGGGCCCAACTAAGCTCAGTTGAGAAGTACTCAAGCCACTATGTCCTTCAGAGCTCCAGACAGGTCAGGGAAGATGAAATGATAGCCGCTCTCCAGGGTATGTTTCGGCACCACCCTCTGGCCCTCCAGCAGCATGACGGCCCGCTCTGCCCCAAAGACAGCCCGCACAGCCCAAGCAGGCACCGGCAGCAGGGCTGGGCGCCCTAGAGCTGCAGCAAGCTCCTGAGCAAAGGTGCCGTTGGAAGTAGCAGGGGAGGATGGGGAGACACCATTGAGGATGCCTTGCACGCACTCAGTCTCCAGGGCATGACACACGATCCCAGCCAAGTCCCGAATGTGGATCCATGGGAAGGGCTGGAGCCCAGAGCCCAAGGGGCCTCCTAGTCCCAGACGGAACGGCAAGAGCATTTGAGAGATTGCACCACCACCTCGGCCCAACACTACCCCTGTGGGGAGAACAGAGAGACATCAGTACTCCCTCCAGAAAGGACAAAGGCCCACTTCATCCTCAATTCTTTAACCAGGAGATAAGCATTGGAGGCCTGGACTGGAACAGCACCCCAGCAAGGACAGGCACAAGACCAGATGTCCTCCTTTATCTTCCCCCAGTACCCAAACACAACCACCTTGAACAGATATGATGCCCCATCTCACCAGATCTCACCACAACACCACGAGCTGGGCTACCAGGAATGAGAGCTGCAGCCTCCCATGAGCTCACCAGGCGTGAGAAGAAGTCAAAATCCCCCCCCGTACTGTCTTCTGTATACTCAGCTGTGGGGCTAGGGCGGTAATAGCCTGTGGGTGTAACACCAGAAAGGGAGTCAGGGTCGAATCATGACACCAGCCACTGCCCTCCCACCCAAAATGGACTCCTCCTCCAGAAGCCCAGAACTTGATCACTCTGTTAGGGACATCCTCATATAAACAGCACAGGGTGCCACTAATGGCAAAGCTGACAAGTTATTGAACTACCTGTATTGAACACTCTGAAAGTTCAGTGGGATGCATAAATGCTCAGGTTGACCTGGCAGCCCCAAGAACACAATATACCAGCAAGCAACACACTGAGCTGGCTGCATAGAAAGGAACTTGCTCTAAAATTAGGCATCACAGATGCTAAACTCTGGCAAGTTAAAGACAGTGGAAGCAGAAATGCAAAGCTGGAGATATGCAGGGGGATTCAGCTGAGACCTTGCTTAGACAAATTAGTTCTATGGGATGCCTAAAAGGCTTTCACAGGAAAATGGAAAAAAAGGTCCTGTCCTAATGACCCCAAGAGAAGCATAAGGACCCAAATTCCTCTCCAGCAGTATCAAAAAGCTGATCAAAGCTTGTCACACAGTGACATTGATGGAAATGAAGCTGGCATTTTAAGAGAAGATGTTTTCCCCCCAGAAGTGTGTTTCTGTCTGGAGGTATACCTCTCCAGGTCATGAGACATGCCTTGGCTGAGCCCAACCAATACCTACGCCGGTGACGAGGACCCAAGCACGGGGTGGCTGTTCAGCATCAGCAATGGCTTTGGCCAAGATCTTGGTGGTCTCAACCCGGCTGCTGATGACTTCCCTGCAGAAGGCATCACTCCATCTGGAAAAGGGAGTGCCACTGATTATACTCCCAATAAGGACATTCCAGAAAACACCAGAAGTAAGGGGGGCCCAGCAGACACCTGCTCACAAGCACAGGAGAGGTCATGTGAATTCCTGCCCACCTCAGAGAGGGGGAGGACTTGGGATCTTACTATCTAAATGCATGGGCACTTTTGAAAGACAGTGGCTCTCCACTTCCCACAAATAGCTGTAGGTTTTGGACTGCCTTCGAACAAAGGTAGCAGAGGTGCTGGACACCAAAGCTGGGTATGGTGAATTCTTGCCAAGGCATTTGCAAAAACACCCTCACATGTCAAACTTTGGTTCTGATTTTACATTATGTAAATGCAAAATGACCCAATGTCATTTTGTAAATGTAGAACTACTTTGCCTGGCCTCCAAGTGTCAATTCAGCAGAGCACCTGTCTTCTAGAGATCTCCCAGAACTTAACAGACCCACAAAAATGTTTTGAATGCTTGAGGACCCAGATGTCATCAACCAGGTAACACAAATAGTTCCTGGACACCCTATTTCCTCCCCAGATCCCTTCCACATTTTCTGACAACTGGGATGTCTTGCCTTCACTTTGTCCCAGCAGCACTATGGAAGATTCAGTTACCTTCGGAAAGGGTTGAGTACATTTTCGCCAGCCAAATTCACCACGGCATCGCACAGAGGTAGTCCAGAGTGGGACAACTCTTCCTAGACATGGGTAACAAACACATCACACATCCAGTCTCCCCTCTGCTCCAGGCTTCCCAACAGCTAAGTATTGCTGACTCCTAACAACTCCAGCCAGTTCCTTCCTGACTGCCTAGAGCACAAACATGAATGGAGGATTTGCTCTCTGGAGCTACAGCAGTACCCATCCCAGTGACTATGACCCATGGAGAGCTCAGGAGCCCAAAAGTACATTGTCAGGAGCCAGATTCCCCACTGCAGATTCCCTGTACACCATGGCAGGCCAGAGCAAGCAGGCCGGCCTGTGCTCTAGCCCTGACATGTTCTCCCTTCTGTGAACGCTCTCATTTCATACCCAGCTAATCCGATCCTTGCCCCCCTCTCGAGAGACGTGGGTCACTTCATGCCCACGGCTCCGCAGCAGCTGGGTCAGGGCTCTGCCCACAAAGCCAGTCCCACCACCTAGGAAGAAGACAAGACATTACCAGTGTGCTGCCCAGACCGGCATCCCGAGGCCTGCACAGGCACCCCCGTTACTATGACCCGCTTCCCAGGGTACCCTGCTCTGGGCCCAGATCCCCCCCCACCCGGCACCCCGCTCAGCACCCCAGCCCTGAGGCCTCTGCTGCCCGGGTACCGCGCATCAAGCCCCACCG